CTGAAACAAACAAAATAAAGAAAACTCTACTCTAAAACTGATGGTATGACCTCATCAAAGGCACGGCCAGCGATATGACCAACAAACTGGGCAATTCGTTGGGGTGAGAAAGAGTTGCCTGTGTCCAGGTATACAACATTACCCATGTGCTTCGTTGCAACATTTGAGGCAGCAAGTAGGCAAACCTGAACACTACCAAGAATTTAAATATACTTTTCAAATGTTGTTACCAGTATCTGTGCAAATATCATACGATTACTCACGTTATTGTCACAAATATAAATAGTGAATTAGTGATATGCTTAAATCTTTATTTAGGTTATCACAAAGTAGGCGCAGCACAGTGTACTTAAGCAATGACATCCCAACCCAAATAAAAGATTGTGACATGTAAACTGAAAATTTGAATCATTGCTATCATAACCTTTTGTAATTGCTGAACAAAGTGAATTACTTACTTGTGTTTTACCACAAGAAGATGGCCCAACAAGTTCAGTTAATTGTCCCTCACGTAATCCGCCTCCAAGTAACAAATCAATTCTGGTTCATGGCAACCCGAAAAACATTACATTTAGTATTACTAAAAGTCTAAAAGCAGTGAAAGGAATAGGTCAGTGTTTGGGCTAAGCATACCCTTCACACCCAGTTGACAGTACATGCTTGTTATGTAGAGCATCATCTAAAAGCTCCATACCATTCAACCATGGTTGATGCTGAGTATCAATAATAGAGAGGACCTGAGTAATGCCCTGCTAGCCCAAACATAACATGATATAATTGTTTAAAGTGAATGTATCTCTGTTAAAACATAATATGAATCTGTGAAAAATAAAATTCTTATGGAAAAAAAAAAACCTGCTTTAGTTTCTCAGATGTAGGCTGGTGTTCTGCAAATGCAGCTAATTCATAGAGGTCATGAATGAGGAAATCTTCCACTGCACCAAATAGAAAAAAAGACACAAAATTGAACTTGTGCTATTCATATTCTCTATTGGGTATCAAAATCCAAGAGACCCCAAATAGAAATTTATGTACTTTATTGGGTTTAAAGCAAATTTTACAAGTGATGGAATGGAACTCACCTGAGAAAATACCGTGAGAGGCGCAAAAGGCCTGGAAATTGGGGTCGAGTATTCGGTACTCTGCCTCCAAAGCTTTCAACGGTGCCATTTCTTTCACGCTCTCCTTTCCAGTATCCACACAACACAATTGTCTCAACTCAAATCGCAACGCAATGCTGTAGAAAAAAGCGTTTGTTCAATTTACTTAACTGGCCGAGTTTCCCACTTTTTCTTTCGGTTGGGTTTTGCTTTCATGGAAACGCAGAAAGAAACGTTTTTTCAAAAAGAAAAAAATTATATATTTTAAGTGGAACTAGAAATAGAATAGAATTATAAGGGGGTATTTCGAATTTATTTAAAGGATTAACTACACTTTAGTCCCTGGAGGTTTAGTGTCAGTCTCGAAATGGGCCCCAAGGTTTCATTTAAGTCAATTTCTTACCCAACATTTCGAAGTATGACCAATTTACACCCACCGTTACATTGACCGTCAAAGTCAGACGTTAAATGCTGATGTGGCAGGCGTGGGACCCACCTCATAACCAAACAGCAATTAGAAAGAGACGAGACGAAGGGCAATTTCGGCCAAAAAAAAACCAACGTTCGCCTTCTCTCTCCAACGCATGCGTTCCAACGCACGCGTTCGTGTACTGAGAGAGACATAGAGGAGAGAAGAGGGTTTGTTCGTGTTTTGGAGAGCAAATTTTTGAAATAGACTTGTTCGTGGAGAGGAAAAAGGAGCAAGGAAAAAAGCTATTATCAATGTTTGTAAATATCCATGTAGAAACAAAGAAGAGGGAGAGCACAAGGGTAAAATGAAGATGAGAGCATCAAGCAACCAAGCTGAAACTGCATTGTCTCGCATTCCCAACACACGGGACTTTGTTAAATGTGGCCAATGAGGTAAAAAGGGGCACAATAAGAGGACTTGTCATAGGAATCTTCCTCCAAAACCTAAACCTGCAACTAAGAGGAAGAGGGGTACTAAAAATACCCAAGTATAGCAACTCAATCTTGTTCAATTTTATCCCTTAATAACCCTAAGCTTTTGTTGCTAACTGACAAGCATTTTTATGTTGTAGAGCACTATTGATCCATCTGCCACATCCACTCCAGCTGGTGGTCCAACCACCCTAAAGCAAAGATCCAAGCCTCCAAGGCGTGTGCAAAAAGGGAAGCCTCTGGTAAGTAACTTGTCTTTATGATGGTTATTATCAATGTTCGTAAATATCCAAATAAAATGTTAACATCCTAAACATTTTGCAGCCAAAACCAAGTAAAAAAGGGCGTGCCACTTTTGAAGCACAACCGGCCTCAACTTCATGTCCTCATCCATCAACTTTTGTTTCAACTGCAGGATCAAATGTTGTAGATTGAAGCTCACTGTTAAAGGAATTTGATGACTAACCTTTTTTTTGTTAGACTGGCAGTTTGTGATTAGGAGGTTTTTGTTTTTGATAAATTGGTCCTACGTAACTTAACTACTGACTTTTTTTTATGGATGTAATGGCATTCACATAAGCCTCAACCACTGTGAATGCAAATACATCCATTGAAATTGCCATTTTGGAATTATATTGAATGGACATGAAATATGTACGATATGCAATGTTATTATCTGGCTATTTTGAGCCCATTTTGAATGCATAATTTTCTGAGTTTTTGGGTTGGCACTTTACTTCATTA